ATGTTAGATACACTAGCAGGCCAGGAAGATTATATGTGAGGTACACTAGCAAACCAGGAAGATTATTAAAACAGCTGACCTGTGTGGTAGGTTTCTGGCGACTTCTGGCACCTGCCTCTTTAAGCCTATCACTACAGTTACAATTACACCTGTTTTAAATGACACTTTAGCATTTATTATCTATATATTAGGGTGCCACTGTAGTATACACTATACACTATGTATACACAATATTATCAGAGAGACTTTCTTTCCTCTGACTAAGTAAAGCTCTAGTATTATTATTATTTTGCACACGGCACACTAGGCCTGTGATTCCCCTCTGGCAGTATACTCTGCTAGGTATTGCACACTAATTCTCCTTTATGATTCAGTAGATACTATTTTCTCCCCAAGATTGGTTCCAAGCGCTAGAGGGATGTATCGTATAGGATCGATGGCACAAATTAAAGTTCTAGCACGTAAGAGTGATCGTGGAAACACGAGAAAACACGGAGCACAACGAGGCACTGCTATATGGACTTACTGCTTTAAGGATCGGGAGGTCTTGGAGCTCATGCTGTTCCAGACTGTCATCATCACATGTCAGGAAATTACGTTGCACAATGTTATGTGGTAGAATGACAGTACCACTACAAGAATTGAGAGAATGATTTTTTTAATTGTTACAGGAATGGCATCTATGGCTGTAAGAAAAGAAAGATCGTGAGCTTGGCTAGGATTCTGTACTGTGACGATGTGTGCACTGCTCTTGAGAGCATGAAACGGAATATTATGACCAACATGGCATATAAGCACATGGTTGATGCTATGATCAGAAAGGTATTTTGAAGATGTCGGTTGTAGAGTGAAAAACTTTGTTCAATGTGTATTATGATGCATAGTATGTGAAGGAAGTGATTGTCGTGTTGGTCTTTTATGAGTGGAATGAGAGGCAGTCGATATAGTGTGATCAGAAGAAGGTGGTGGTTGTTTAGATACAGGACTGGTCCATTTTGAGGTGGGAACGTGATCTGAAAACCGTCACACCGCATGGGGAGAGGCCAAAAGCATAGTCAAAAATGTGTGGAGGTCGGATGTGTCAAAGAAGTTAGGCAGAACCTCTGTATTCGGAGAGTGAGACAAAATGTCAGCCACGGTAGATGCAGTTGTAGAAATGTCTGAAGAATGGTCCGATAACAAGGGAGGATCGTCAGAGGGTACTGCTACAGGAAGGGATCCAGGAGGAGGAGGTACATGAACTTATTACTCCATGGTTAAGTCTCTCTTTTATTTTGTGTTTTTTTTTAATAAAAGATTAAGGGGAACGTTGAGAGGTAACACCCAAGAGAACATCCTCCACACAGCCAGTAGTGCAGATGCGTCATGGAACCCTTGCCATACCCTACCTTCAAGCCAGTAAACCAGCAGTCTGGGACAGCAACCTCACATCTACCGAGCCACCTCAGCGGACAAAAGGGAGGGCGGTCAGAAACCCGTCACAAAGCACACCTCTTTCGGTCACCACCACCTGGAATCTGACATGCAGCTTCCAGAGATATACCTGTTAAATGAAAGAAACCCATGCCTTTTCCCAGTAGACCAGATTATTATTATTATTACAGTCAAAAAGAAGCGCTAAACCACAAGGGCTATACAGTGCTGCAGGGAAGGAAGGAAGCGAGGGTATCAGGTGGCAGAAGGGAGAGGGATGATTACTAGGTTACAGAGAACAGTGGGGCAGTGGATAGTGAAGTGGTAGACGGTAGCAAGAGATTGAGGTAGAAAGGGCTGAGGGGAGTGCAGAAGGTATCATCATCAGAGTTTGTGAAGTAAATCAGTCGTTGTCAAGAAGTCAATGAGAGAGTCAGGATTAAAGGAGGGTCCATCAGCAAGAAGGGAAGGTGAAAAGAGAGTAGTAAAGCGGAGACGATGTTGGAGGTAAATTCTGCGTGCTCGTTGATAGAGAGGGCAGTCTAACAGAAAGTGGCTAACTGATACTGGAACCTGACACTTCTCACAGAGAGGAACAGGGTGCTTCTCCATGAGATACCAATGAGTAAGACGAGTGTGGCCAATGCGAAGATGGGAGAGAGTGATCTCCCGACCTCGACACTGGTGACAAGAAGACGGCCAGTAACCTATACTCGGTTTAATAGGCTGAAATTTGTTACCGAGCAGAGTAGACCAACGTTGTTGTCAACAGGTGTGAAGGTGGGTAGCTATTGCAGCAAAATAGTCCATAAATGGAACACCTCTATATGAAACTGGTAGGTCATATACTGCTGACCGCACAGCAGTGTCTGCCTGTTCATGACCAGGTACCCAACAAAAAACAATATCTTTATGTCTGGTAGAGATACGGTGTAGCCAGAGTTGGATACGGAGGACTAGGGGCTGAGGTGTATCAAATTTCTGTATAGCCTGTAATGCACTAAGGGAGTCTGAGACAACCACAATTGATTACACAGGCATAGATGCAATACAGATAAGTGCTTCAAGAGTGGCATACAATTCAGCAGTAAAAATGCTAGCCGAAGATAGTAAATGCCCTCGTACGATGCTGTCCAGAAACACTGCTGCGAATCCTATGCCGTCAGAAGACTTAGAGCCACCTGTATTCACTTCGATGGCATAAGAATGAGAGTGGAAGTGATCAAGAAAAAGAGAGCGGAAAGCTACCATAGGCAGTTGGGCTTTCAAGCAAGGGAGTGACAAAGAACAGACTCGAACAGCTGATCAAAGGAGAGTGGAGGTCAGACAAATCGAAGGAGTCAGTCGAAGCCCTGGTACATGAAGCGGGTGATGAAACAGCACCAGCAAGAGGTAGAGGGACAACAGGAGTGTCCGAAGAGTGGTCAAAAAACGAGGCAGGGCCAGAATGGGGTGCAGTATCAAGTAGGGGCCCGGGGGTAGCAGGTTCATAGACTTGGGCTTCCATGTTTAGGTTACTTCTTTCTTTTTGTTCTTAAGAAAAAAAAAAAGAAGAAAATAAAATAAAAATAAAAAAAAAGAATAAAAAAGCGGGGGAAACGAGGAGGAATAGTTCCTAGGAGAAATGGAAGGGCCGGAAATCGTCCTCCGCGCCCAAGAGGACCTCAACACTGCAAATAGTGCAGATGCAGAATGGAACCCGTGCCATACCCTACCCTTCATGCCAGTAAACCAGCAATCCATGCCAGTAAACCAACAATCCATGCCAGTAAACCAGCAATCCATGGCAGCAACCTCACATCTGCTGAGCTACCTCGGTGGAAAAAAGAGAGGGCTGCCGGATATCCGCCACAAAGCATACCTTCTTTGGTCACCACCCCCGGAATCCGAAAGGCGGCCTCCAGAGGTACACCTGTTGCCTGAGAGATGCCCAAAGCCACCCCCCCCCCGGGGAGACTGGAAAGAGAATGGGACTTCCCCAGGTAATCCAGATTCCACAGCAAACTACACAACCGCCAAGAACCTCAACAGAATAAGATTGACCCCGGTACCCTTCCCCCTACCTAGGAACCAGTGGGTCTGTGGGAAGGATACCAAAGGCCAAAAAAGAGGAAGGGAATTTGGGAGGGGCATGGGGGAGGAGGAGGAAAGGAAAAAGGGAGGATGGGGAGGATGGGATAGGGAAGGGGGGATTGGGGGGTAATTAGGTTCGGTCTGAGGAAGGAGACCAACAGGTCTAATTCCTCAGACCAGGAGTCTCTTCACCATGCCAAGGAGGCCCCCTTGAAGAGGCAGGTAGACCAGAGAGAATCGGGATTTCTAGATGATCCAGACTCCACGGCAAATTACACTACTACCAAGGACCTCAGTGCAAGGAGATAGACCCCAGAATCTCTTCTTAGGTCTAAAGGAACAACCTCAAAGGCAGAAACAGGAACGTAAAAGTGGAAGGATGCAAAAAGGAGGAGGAAAGGGGGGGCTTCGGAAGGTAATTAGGTTTGGTCTGAGGTAGAAGACCAAAAGGTCCAATTTCTCAGACCAATATCCTCTTCACCGCACCAAGGAGCCCCCCCGCCCACCTCCTTGAAGAGGAAAGATGTATGGAGCTGAACATCTGTTGTTTATACTCCTTATATAAGTCGAGGAAATTTGTTAGCCTTATCACGACTCCCAGGTCCTTTATATATATTGTTAGATCTACGTCTATATTATTTCTTTTATAAATTCCAGGGTTATATTCTTTCCCGAGGATTAGAAATTTTCACTTAACTACAATTAACAGTGTCTGCTACTTTTCGTGGTTGTTGGGTATGAGAAATATTTTTTTTTTTTTTAATCAAACAGCTCCCATAATACATGTAGTTTACTTAATATTCATTTCTATGACAACAGTTCACATTCAAGTGTGTTTAAATAATGCAACTATTTTCACTCTAAGTAGGATCCTATTTCGGCAGTGTTTAACTAGATGGCAGAAAGTCCTTATATACGCAAGTACAATTAGGTGCACACAATAAAAGGTGCACTAAAGTAGACTGAAAGACAGTGCAGTACACATACTGATCCATGCTCACTGATTCCACTCATCTGCCACTTTTTTTTTTTTAATTCGAATTTTTGTGGCTTAGATTCATGAAATTCAGAACTGATAGTGATGTAACATAACATTCACAGAGGCCTTAGACTTATTTTCTGCATATCATTTATCTGCCTTAAGGTTTGTTAAATTTATTCAGAATCATATTTAGTAGATATAGCAACATAACCAATGTTAGATAATTTACCTGGAGTTTACCTGGAGAGAGTTCCGGGGGTCAACGCCCCCGCGGCCCGGTCTGTGACCAGGCCTCCTTAGGTCAGTGTCCCAGGATGCGACCCACACCAGTCGACTAACACCCAGGTACCCATTTTACTGATGGGGAACATAGACAACAGGTGGAAAGAAACACGTCCAATGTTTCTACTCTGGCTGGGAATCGAACCCAGGCCCTCGCCGTGTGAAGCGAGAGCGTTAACCACCAGGGACAAGTTTAGTTTTATTAAGATATAAGAAACTCATTATCTATTATTAAAAAATATTCTTACAGATTCTGGAGTTTGAACTGAGTGAAGAAGAGATGAGAGTGATGGACAGTCTTGACCGAGGTGCTGATGGCAGGATTTATGACTTCCTTTTATATCCCGGGTAAAGTGTTGTTAATTTGGTTTCTTAAGGTTTTTGAAAGTCGATTAATGCAGGATGATAGTAAAATAATAATTATAATTTATTAACTATTTATTAGCTGTTTATTTCTGTTTATAGTCTGTTGCCTTGTACTTAAACTCGAGGGGAAACTTTTGTTGTTATTGGAGGGCTTTTGATCCAAGGAAACTAATTTATTCTGAACTTCAATAGATCAAACTTGATTATATCCAATTCCTCAGGCAATGTATGGCCCCTATGTATTAAGCGCTTCCCCATGATTATAATACAATAACGGTAATAAAGTGGTAAATTTATGCATGATACTTTCAAAGTTGGTATATATTATATCCATTGATGTTAATTTGATGTGGCAACCAATACAGATTGTTAGTTTAATGGGACATGCGATCTCTGTTGTACTCAGTCATTGTATAGTAAAGTCAACAGAACGAACTTTGTAATAAACACTTATAATACTACATGTGTTATGTCTCCATAAAGTGAGAATTATTTAGTTCCAAGTTAAATACTTAAAATTTGTCATTTTTAATAATCACAGTCAACAATTTATTGTTGAAAATGAACACCAGAAGAGATAGGTCTGTAAGGCATAATATATTTAACACTGACCGTGTCCCACCGAGGAAGGGAATATTCGCTGTTACTCATTCAATCACTGTCTTGCCAGAAGTATTCTGCTATCACAGTTCAGACGCTTCTTGGAACTGCAGCATCCCAACTCTTCCATCAGAGTGCAGGCATTGTAATTTCCACCTCTAGGACTCAAATCCAGATAACAAGTTTCCTTGAATTCCTTCTCTAATGTTTTCTTGACGAACACCAACAGCACATCGTCATAAAAACAGCTTGCCTTCTTTCGCTCTTATCAAATATACTCACACAAGCCTGTTGGATGTTCAGACTCTTAACCTCCTTTAATCACTCCCTCCAACCTTTTCTGGGAAAATCCCTAATCCTCCTTCTCTCTTCCCTATATTTATACACCATCCTGGTCATCCTGTTTGTCTCCATCATATCTAAATGCCCAAGTCACTTCAACAACCCATCCCAACTTCTCTACAGAATTCACACAACACATTGCTCTCAAACATGCAGCTCCTTCTCGTTATGTTTAAAATCAATGATTCTCACCAATATAACAGTATTGGTTCTCCCTTTCTCCGCCTCCATAGATAAAGTTCATCATTTCTACAGATGCATCATCGGCACTCTTCCTTTTATAAATTCTATGGTTTCTCATCTTCCATACACCCATATGCTAATAAAGCCACTCCCAAATATCAAAACGGATTTGGGTGCTCATGACTTGGTTGATAGCGTCTTTAGCTCACACACTTAAGGAAACAGGTTTTCTCCCTAAATCAGCTTGTGGAAACTTGAGGTGCCCAACTCTGGCAATCACTGCTGACACAGGCTATGTAAGAGTGATTATCCTACCCTCACAATACCAACGTTCTTGACTTCCCTATTGAAAAACTAGAGAATGCTTACTTATGTCGTGGAGTTTCTTCTAGCCAGAAATCTTAGAGTTTACTCAGGATAACTTGACTTCTATGTGACTTCTTCCTGGAATGTCATGTGCAGAGAAAATTGTGCCTGCACTCAAAAAAGTTAGTAAATCAAGTATACATCCTAGAGAGTTACCTGTATTCTCTGGGGTTTCGTTAACTAGCATTAATGATCAGTGAGAAGTTACTTATTTCTAGACTATACACTAAAATGACAGTTCACTTAGCAGTCTGGGCTGCTACATATCCTGATTTGGGCTCTTGGCCCACTCATAACGGAAAGCGAAATAAACTCGTGTTCCCCTATAATATTTGGAGACTGTCTAGTATTGAGTTGAAAACAATGATAACCTCAGGTACAAATGTGTTGGGAATGCTTCTATCATTGTTTTACTGGTTGTCAGACGAGTATTTTGTAGACAACATGAGATGCTGAGGTCAGAGCTCCAATTTGTTTCGATCATCACTACTGTTCATGCCAGATGACTGAACATGCGGTCTGGAAAGCTCCAGCTTCCTTCTTGCATAACGAGTTGCCAGCTATCTCAACGATGCTTGTAATCTCATTACCTAATATGATATTTTAATATTAATATCTATTTCCACTTTATTGATTCTAATATTATTTACTAATGATTGAAGTTACTACACCAGTCATACAGTCAACTAAGCCATACAGTCAACAGTGATACAGTCAGTCATACAGTCAACTAAGTACTCTAGAGAATGGAAAAAGTACAGAAGGCAAAGGACTCAGGAGAATAAAGAGATTAGTCGACGAACCAGAAACGAGTATGCACAGATAAGAAGGGAAGTGCAGCCGAAATTACTCTACAGCCACATCAGGAGGAAGACAACTGTCAAGGATCAGGTAAACAGGTTGAGGAAAGAAGGTGGGGAGCTCACAAGAAACGACCAGGAAGTATGTGAGGAGCTCAACATGAGATTTCAGGAAGTATTTACAGTGGAGGATGAAGGGACAATGGGAAGACAAAACAGTAGCATACATCAACAAGGAATATACCAACAAGCGTTGGATGAATTACACACAACAGAGGAGGAGGTGGAGAAGCTCCTAAATGACTTTGATACCTCAAAGGCGGTGGGACCGGACAACATCTCTCCGTGGGTCTTTCGAGAGGGAGCAGGGACACTACAGGTGCCACTAATCAAAATCTTCAACACTTCCCTTGAAACGGGGCAACTACCTGAAGTATGGAAGAAAGCAAATATAGTCCCCATCTTTAAGAAGGGAGACAGAAACGAAGGTCTAAATAATAGACCAGTGTCACTGACATGTATAGTATGCAAAGTCTTGGAAAAGATTATTAGGAGGAGAGTGGTGGAGCACCTGGAGCAGAACAAGATTATAAATGACAGACAGCACGGATTCATGGAAGGCAAATCTTGTGTCACAAACTTACTTGAGTTTTATGACAAGGTAACTGAAGTAAGAAATGAGAGGGAGGGGTGGGTTGATTGCATTTTCTTGGACTGCAAGAAGGCCTTCGACACAGTTCCTCACAAGAGATTAGTGCAGAAGCTAGAGGAACAGCCACATATAACAGGAAGGGCACTGCAATTGATCAGAGAGTACCTAACAGGGAGGCAACAGCGAGTCATGGTCCGTGATGAGGTATCACAGTGGGCGCCTTTGACGAGCGGGGTTCCCTCAGGGGTCAGACCTGGGGCCAGTGCTATTCTTGGTATATATGAACGACATGACGGAAGGGATAAACTCAGAAGTGTCCCTGTTTGCAGATGACGTGAAATTAATGAGGAGAATTAAATCAGACGTGGACCAGGCATGTCTACAAAGAGACCTGGACAGGCTGGATGCGTGGTCCAGAAACTGGCTCCTAGAATTTAACCCCGCCAAATGCAAGGTCATGAAGATTGGAGGAGGGCAAAGAAGACTGCAGACAGAGCATAGGCTAGGAGGACAAAGGCTGCAAACTTCACTCAAAGAGAAAAACCTAGGAGTGAGTATAATACTGAGTACATCGCCAAAAGCACACATTAACCAGATAACTGCTGTGGCATATGGGCGCTTGGCAAACCTGAGGAGAGCGTTCCAGAACCTCAGTAAGGAATCGTTCAAGACTTTCTACACTGTGTACGTCAGGCCCATCCTGGAGTATTCAGCACCAGTTTGGAACCCACACCTGGTCAAACACGTCAAGAAATTAGAGAAAGTGCAAAGGTTTGCAACAAGGCTAATTCCAGAGCTAAGGGGAATGTCCTATGAAGAAAGGTTAAGGGAAATCGGTCTGACAACACTGGAGGACAGGAAGGTCTGGAGAGACATGATAACGACATACAAAATACTGCATGGAATAGACAAGGTGGACAGAGACAGGATGTTCCAGAGATGGGGCACAAAAACAATGGGTCACAATTGGAAGCTGAACAATCAGATGAGTCAAAGGGATGTTAGGAAGTATTTCTTCAGTCATAGAGTAGTTAGGAAGTGGAATAGTCTGGCAAGCGATGTAGTGGAGGCAGGAACTATACATAGTTTTAAGACGCGGTATGATAAAGCTCATGGAGCAGGGAGAGAGAGGACCTAGCGGCGGTCAGTGAAGAGGCGGGGCCAGGAGATGAGTCTCGACCCCTGCAACCACAATTAGGTGAGTACAGTTTCTTTACGTATTCTAGGGGTATTGTTAAGGAGTTTAAGGTTGTGGGACTGCTCTCCCCCATGCAAACACCGCAGCACAGAATACGTACACACACTGGCAGTGGTAATTTGGGACCAATAAGCTTTTACATCCTCCTGCTGGCAAACTTAGACACTAAGTGTGGATCAAGTTCACCTCTTGCAAGCCCTTCCAGTGGGCCCCGGACACGAGTGCCGTCCAGCTGCCCTGGTTTATCAGAATGATAACAAATTCCCACTACAGGCAGCACACTCCACCAATATTCAAAACTCTAAACCTACTCACCATACAAAACATCCATACTTTTTACTGCACCTACTACATACATAGAACACTTAACTCTGATATAAACCCTCCCCTCAAACGTCTCCTTACCAACCTCAACAGAACACATGACCATAACACAAAAAACTCAATGCACATAAAAGGACTTAAAATCTGGAATTCATTACCTGTGAATATAAAAGAAACACTGTCTGTTTATAAATTCAAGTCTCTTCTCAAAAATATCTTACTTACCCACAACTAAATAAATATTGAATAATTGTATCTCATAAATTGTATCTCAGAAATGTTTCTCATTATTGTATCTCATAAATGTCTAACCTGTGACCCAATAAAACTTTGTTATCTATTAATTACATTACCTAACAGAATACTCCATTCTTCTGAATGCTCAGCAACACAGTAAATGACCATATGACCTGTCTTTGTAATACTCATTTGTGCTAAATTGTTATCCGTTTACAATAATGTTTTTACCACTGAATATATCATTGCTTAGTTAATCTTAAGTTAATTTTAAGCTGCACATAATGCTCTGCATTCAAGGGGCTTTGGCAAGTTGCACTTTACTTCTCTGTATCATGTTCAAATTAATAAATAAATAAATAAATAAATAGAACATTGATAGTCCACTTTCCACTGTGTGGACCTCTAGGGTAGAAGGTTTTTGGTTCTGATGATCTTGACTTCCTTCATCTTTACTTTAAGATAAGATAAGATAAGATTTCGTTCGGATTTTTAATCCCGGAGGGTTAGCCACCCAGGATAACCCAAGAAAGTCAGTGCGTCATCGAGGACTGTCTAACTTATTTCCATTGGGGTCCTTAATCTTGTCCCCCAGGATGCGACCCACACCAGTCGACTAACACCCAGGTACCTATTTGCTGCTAGGTGAACAGGACAACAAGTGTAAGGAAACGTGTCGAAATGTTTCCACCCTCCGGGAATCGAACCCGGGCCCTCCGTGTGTGAAGCGGGAGCTTTAGCCACCAGGCCACCGCAAAAGTCTAGCCTTGTCTGAGTGGGTTGGTACTTCCCAACCTAGTGGCCCATATGCTCTGGTAGCTTTACTTCCTACTGATACAAAGTTCTCTGGGTTTAATGATAATCTGGCTAAGTGATCGTCACTCCCTACCTGGTTCGTTTTACCCACAAATGTGTTCAAATAAGGAGGATGGCCACTTACGATCATATTTTTAGAGTACATATTGCTAACACAGTACCTGGTTGTAATGGGAACAAAGTGGAGCATTATACGACTTGTATTTCCTTCACCAAATAGGCAAATTGGCATTTACAATGTGTACACTATTTACACTATATACAGTAATGTAAGAATAAGTGTACAACATAGTGAACCAAAGTGGCAAAATGCAAGTGCCGGAGAATGTACCATGTAGGACCAACAGCCCCAGACGAGTCTGCCAGATCACATGTCACAAGTGAGCCACATTGCTTTACACCTTTTGTGGGTTTGTCTGTGATTGGTAGATGAACCGAGGTACTGATGAAACAATGGGGTCCCTATTGATTGTTAAATCCTTAGCACCTGATTCACTGGTTGTGAGGCAGTGTATATGAGAATGTGGCATATGCTGAATAAAAGGTTACATACTCGTAACATGTGGTAGGTAATACCTGATCACCAATAATGTTTGAACACTGCTGTGTAATTAATGCATTAGCCTAAATTTTTTAGATTTTGTTTGTACAATGATTTGATTTGATTACTTTCTCTTCCTTACAGGATCGACAGACACCCAGAGTTTCCATTCCACATTCCATTTTAGGGATAAGGAAATGTTTCGTGTTTACCATTTTGAGATGAGTTATAGCATTGTTGATTATGGTAATAATATAATAAGTCTGATTCTAATGTCTGATTTTCATGAATATAGATGAAACAATAGCACTTGCTGTGCACATTGTACCATAAAAGTTTTTAAATGACTTGGATGAAACTAGAAAATCAGTCATTAACATTTTGCTCTAAATCTTGAAACATTAAATTTGTCTTGAAATTTCTTGTTTGTAGACTGGGAAGGAGATTGGAAACTAGGTTCAGGAAAATTCAGTTAAAGAAGTAAAAAGTATATGTGAAATTTAGTATATATTTTATAAAAGGAGAAAGAAAGAGGAGGGCGAAAGAAGGGAGGGAGAAAAGGGGCAGAAGCACTAGGGATGACATGTTCACGATGTACAAAATACCACAGATGTTACAAAGATCTCCACTAAAATATCCAGGAGATACTTCGAGCAGAATAAAAAAAATGATGAGCTTCAAACAATGAAAATTTAAGTATTATATAAATGGAAATGAGAGAGTTACTAAGGAAGTTATAAAGGGAACAACAATTAAACCAGACAGGATATAACCACAGATAATGTGAAACAGAACAGGAGGAACTGTGTGATCCTTCAGAGTGCTAGAGAACTGTGTGATCCTTCAGAGTGCTAGAGAACTGTGTGATCCTTCAGAGTGCTAGAGAACTCTGTGATCCTTCAGAGTGCTAGAGAACTGTGTGATCCTTCAGAGTGCTAGAGAACTGTGTGATCCTTCAGAGTGCTAGAGAACTGTGTGATCCTTCAGAGTGCTAGAGAACTGTGTGATCCTTCAGAGTGCTAGAGAACTGTGTGATCCTTCAGAGTGCTAGAGATCTGTGTGATCCTTCAGCGTGCTAGAGAACTGTCTGATCCTTCAGAGTGCTAGAGAACTGTGTGATCCTTCAGAGTGCTAGAGAACTGTGTGATCCTTCAGAGTGCTAGAGAACTGTGTGATCCTTCAGAGTGCTAGAGAACTGTGTGATCTTTCAGAGTGCTAGAGAACTGTGTGATCCTTCAGAGTGCTAGAGAACTGTGTGATCCTTCAGAGTGCTAGAGAACTGTGTGATCCTTCAGAGTGCTAGAGATCTGTGTGATCCTTCAGAGTGCTAGAGAACTGTGTGATCCTTCAGAGTGCTAGAGAACTGTGTGATCCTTCAGAGTGCTAGAGAACTGTGTGATCCTTCAGAGTGCTAGAGAACTGTGTGTTCTTTCAGAGTGCTAGAGAACTCTGTGATCCTTCAGAGTGCTAGAGAACTGTGTGATCCTTCAGAGTGCTAGAGAACTGTGTGATCCTTCAGAGTGCTAGAGAACTGTGTGATCCTTCAGAGTGCTAGAGAACTGTGTGATCCTTCAGAGTGCTAGAGAACTCTGTGATCCTTCAGAGTGCTAGAGAACTCTGTGATCCTTCAGAGTGCTAGAGAACTCTGTGATCCTTCAGAGTGCTTGAGAACTGTGTGATCCTTCAGAGTGCTAGAGAACTGTGTGATCCTTCAGAGTGCTAGAGAACTGTGTGATCCTTCAGAGTGCTAGAGAACTGTGTGATCCTTCAGAGTGCTAGAGAAATGTGTGATCTCTCAGAGTGCTAGAGAACTGTGTGATCCTTCAGAGTGCTAGAGAAACTGTGTGATCCTTCAGAGTGCTAGAGAACTGTGTGATCCTTCAGAGTGCTAGAGAACTGTGTGATCCTTCAGAGTGCTAGAGAACTGTGTGATCTTTCAGAGTGCTAGAGAACTGTGTGATCCTTCAGAGTGCTAGAGAACTGTGTGATCCTTCAGAGTGCTAGAGAACTGTGTGATCCTTCAGAGTGCTAGAGAACTGTGTGATCCTTCAGAGTGCGAGAGAACTGTGAACACAACGACTCCAGTGAGGACGGGAAATAGGCAGGAAGCTGTAAATCGAGGACCAGCTCTACTGATTAGCATATTGGCTAAGGTTCTAGAAAAGTATAAGAAAGAAAACAGTGGCACTTTATAAGACATGAATACGAGACAACTAACATGAGTTTAGAAATGGCCAGTCATTACTGAAGAGTGTGTGTGTGATGAATGGTTTTGAAAACCGACAAGTTGAAGAATTGAGACACTTATGCAACACATGGGAATCTTTATTGAAGAAACGTTTCGCCACACAGTGGCTTCATCAGTCCAATACAAAGTAGAAATGGGTAAGGAGAGTAGAAGTATGAGGTAATCAGTCCCTCAACCTGGATTCGATGTGTTCAGTCCATCACTCTTGTAGTAAGTGCAGCATAGGGCCAGAGAGGTGGCTTATATACTGCGGTGAGATGAGTATATATAAGCCACCTCTCTGGCCCTATGCTGCACTTACTACAAGAGTGATGGACTGAACACATCGAATCCAGGTTGAGGGACTGATTACCTCATACTTCTACTCTCGTTACCCATTTCTACTTTGTATTGAACTGATGAAGCCACTGTGTGGCGAAACGTTTCTTCAATAAAGATTCCCATGTGTTGCATAATTGTCTCAATTCTTCATTACTGAAGAGTAAACAGACCTCTAACACATTTCCAACTTCCTTCTCTTCAACAGCTTTTGTTTTGCTAATTCAATATATATATTTTATTTAGTCAGTAAAGATACTAATTATGTTGTTTGGTGTTAAATCAGTTTTCATCTTTATTAACAATGGTCTACATTTGGAATGTTTTTAATTTTTTACTTTTATTCATGGTTGCCATCTTACACATTCTTGGGCTGCTGATAGTAAATATCTGAACCATTTTGCTCTATCACTTAAGATTTTTGAATAATATACAAATTATTGATAATAAAAATTGCGACTTTTTAATAAATTGTTACTTTATTAAACTTAGGCAAGTAATCCTTCAAAAGCACATTCTGTCAGTTTTAAGACCGTATGAATTCCAAATCAGCATGAATCAAATGAAATGATTTTATTAAAAAAATATGCTCCTAATGGTTAGCCTACATATTGAATCGAGGGAAGGAAAACTGCTTTGGTTTTCGCTTGTGCTGTGCATCGAGACCATTAAGTTTCAATGACCAGCAGTAATCTGCCATCATGATGACATTCCATTTGCCCTGGTACCGAATTTCCATGGTGCAAATATCCTGATGGAATCTCTCTCCTTGTTTCTCACTGTAGTCCCCACAATTGTTGGGAAAATAGTCAAGATGTGAGTGGAAAAAGTGCATCTTCACACTCATTCTAGACCCAAGTTGTTGGAAACTTAAAATCAGGTCCTGGATAATTTTTTTGTCATATTCGGGGGAGCGCTTGTTTCCCAGGAAGTTGTGGACAGTCTGCTTGAATGAAAACCAGGCATTCACCTCCACACCTGCTGCTATTTTTGTTTTATTGTGGGAACTCTGCTTTTTTGTATATATAATATATATATATATATATATATATATATATATATATATATATATATATATATATATATATATATATATATATATATATATACATTCTTTGTTTGAACTATATTTTTGTTTGTCTCATGGCTTAATTAAACAAATAGCTTCTTTGCTACATTGATATGTTTGTGTAACAAATAACTACTGTTACCTTCAGCACTTCCCAAAAAATCAGTTTTATTGCTACGTTCATTGTTTATTAAAACAATTAGGTTTGCATGTCTCTCCTGTTATTGTAAAAATTGGTTTTGTTGTTGCATTTTTATTAAAAACGACAATGTAGTTTTCGTGGTCCTATTAACTTTTTTGTGGTAACATAGATAATAGGTTTTATTATGCCAACAAAGATTATTTTTACCCCAAGTGTCCTTATGTATCTACATTATATTTTACCATAATTGTCTTACTATCATTTTCTCTGGTATAATTATTGATGTTTCTTCCATTGTTTGATCATCTCTAAAATACAATGTTGGTTTTAATGCATTTGTATCAGTAAATTAATAAGTAATGATCTGAGTTTGCCAGAAGTATAATTTGTGTATATGACAAGAGAAACTTTATGGATGTGGCTCCTAAATCATGGATCAGGAGCCTCTCCTCCGACGCATCTTTCTAACAGCCAACATTGAAGCAATGGACGTAGAAATGTTGAAAAAAATGTTTACAGCATGAGAGAGAGAGAGAGAGATAAGATTTCGTTCGGATTTTTAACCCCGGAGGGTTAGCCACCCAGGATAACCCAAGAAAGTCAGTGCGTCATCGAGGACTGTCTAACTTATTTCCATTGTGGTCCTTAATCTTGTCCCCCAGGATGCGACCCACACCAGTCGACTAACACCCAGGTACCTATTTGCTGCTAGGTGAACAGGACAACAGGTGTAAGGAAACGTGTCGAAATGTTTCCACCCGCCGGGAATCGAACCCGGGCCCTCCGTGTGTGAAGCGGGAGCTTTAGCCACCAGGCCACCGGGCCACACAAAATTAGACGTAAACTGTAATATGGTGCTGTATAATGGGTGTATAACTCTGAACAAACATAATCAAAGAGACGATCATAGTATATTATAGTGTCTCCAGTGAGATATAAAACAAATCTAGATAGAAACATGTGAACATAGTACACTAGTTTTGGCAAGTAATTTGATATCAGCAGCAGAATTTGTAAAAACAAATGCTAGTATCTATACTAGGAAAAGGGATATCTAAGTTAATATTAGTACATAACTTAAATATTATCTAATTATACATTTTTTATTAGTCATTAGACAACATATAAATCTTCATATATTGAAGCTACTGTTTTAATTTTGTAAATAATAGAACAGTGAATTGTGAATGTTTATTAAAACAATATAAGGTAAATCTTTTTATAATTCCTTAAAACCCACCCATCTATAATCAATAAAAAATAAAACTGATCTCTAACAATTATTTACCGAATATCATTGTGTTGTGCCCATGGCCCAGGAGGGCCATCCCACGAGAGAGCTACTCGTAGGCCTTCTGTCTTCCTGCTAGGCCGCTGTGTGAGTGTGACTGTGTGTGGGACCAGCTTCCCACAGACCTGGACAGGCCCAGAGGGCAGCACTTTAGTGGCGCGAAATATGAACTAAGCTGGCAGACAGCATGGGCTGTCTGT